ACTGCTCAAATACAGCCTGAGCTAGATCCTCAGGCAGTATAGTTTTAAAGAGCTGTACTATCTTCTGTCAACTGTGGGCTTCTATCTGTTTTTTTGTGTGTGGTAAATGAAGGAAGCATGGACACAACCATCAAACCCCTGAAGGAAGTTTTCATCCAAAAACAGGCTCTAAATAAAGAGCTTGGTATTGGGTTTAGGCTTGTTCTTTTGTCTTGTTTTTTACTTCAAGCAAAGGTTAGAAGAGTGGCAAAAATGAAGGTGCAAACGTAGCATTAAGGCAGCTCAAAATCCTTAATGCAGAGGTGTGGCCCACATCCTTCCAACCATATTCATCCCAAGCTGTTCTGATAAAGAATGCTGTATAGGGAGGGACTTCTAGTCCCCATGTCTCTTATTTCCGTTAAGATGGAGACAGCTGCAAGCTCCTTTATTCTATGCAGTGGCTTAAGATTCCTCTGCTTAGCATCTGACACCAGTACATGAATACTGCCTGTTTCCTTGAAGAAAGGAAGAGAAGATTAAAACAACTTTTCTTTAGCAATGAAATGGATTGGTTTTGTCAAGCAGACATCCCAAACTTGGGGTTACAGTGGATAGTAAGCTGGACATGAGTCAACAGTATGTCATTGTTGCCAAGAAGGCTAACGGCATGCTGGGCTGCATTAGTAGGTGAGTTGCCAGCGGGGCAAGGGAAGTGATTCTTCCCTTCTATTCAGCACTGGTGAGGCCACATCTGGAGTACTGTGTCCAGTTTTACTTCTGACCCCTGACCCCCCCCCCCACACACACACCCCCCAAAAGGATGTGGACAAGCTGGAAAGAGTCCAGCAGAGGGCAATGAAAAAGGTTAGGGGGTTGGGGCACATGACTTCTGAGGAGAAGCTGAAGGAACTGGGCTTATTTAGTCTGCAGAAAAGACTGGTGGGGGGACTTTAATAGAAGCCTTCAACTTTCCAAAGGGGGATTCTGAAGAGGATGGAGCTAGACTATTCTCAGTGGTGGCAGACAACAGAACAAGGAACAATGGTCTCAAATTGCAGCAAGGGAAATTTAGGTTAGATATTAGAAAAAACTTGCTCACCAGGAGGGTTAAAAGCATTGGAACAGGTTACCCAGAGAGGTTGTGGACTCTCTATCCTTGGAGGTTTTGAAGGGCTGGCTCAACAAAGCCCTTCCTAGAATGATCTAGTGAGGATGGTTCTGCTTTGAGCAGGGGATTAGACTAGGTGACCTCCTGAAGTCCTTTCCAACCCTAATTTTCTATGATTCTAAAACTTCTGAAACATTGCCCTTTGGGACTATGTGAAAGGTGGAGGCACTGCTCTTCATGGGCTTTGGGTAGAGTCATAGTTTGTAGATACTTGGTGCTCCCTTCTTCCCACCTGTAAGATAGATGTGACATCTTTACGGAGAAATTAGGGCTACTTTTTAAAGCAATGCGAGTTGGTCACAAGGGCAAGAACATGTGCTGTAAGAAATTAAACAGAAAACAACTTTTTAAAAATGGTGGTGAGGATGAAATCCAAGTCTCATGCATGTAGTTCTAGTCACCTCTCTAACTCCTTGTACTGGAACACAGAGTCAGGTATCTGGAAAGTCGATTAACAGGGGTGCACCAATAAAGTTTTTTTGGGCCAGTATCGATGGCTGATTATTAGTGAGCCCTGTTGGTCAATACTGATCCGATTGCTAATATGCAGCTTGGAGAGCAGCATCTGGCATATTGAGGCCCCTGCAGTGAGGGAGAGAGTGGAGCAGGGACTGGGGCAGGTACTGCCCAGCCAGGGTGGAGCATGGGACGGAGGCCTGAACATCTCGCCCGGGGGTGGGGGTGGCTCCTGCTGCTGCGCACACCCTTGGGGAAGCCTTGGGGGACCTGTGGTCCCTGATCTGTGTGCAGGATGAGGGTGGGCTGCTGCTGGGGGCAGCGCTGGGCTCTTCCTGGCAGGGGGGCTGGGCCAGGACTGCTCTTGGGATGGGTTGCATTGATGGTGGGAGGGGGGCTACAGGGTGGGCTACAGCCACCCCAAAATTCTGTAGCGCCCCCCAACCTCCCTCCCAGCACCATCGCCAACCCTGAGCTCATCCCCAGCCCAGCCCCCTTAGGTTTGAGCAGACCCACATGGTCCACAGCATGGGAACATGTAGTATGGATCTTATACTGGCTGGAGCAAGTACCATGCTACACAGTGCTACCCCAGCCAGACTGTGCCACATACACAGCATCTGCTCTTAGACACAAGCCTCACACTAGGCACTGATAAAGATTTTCTTGGGTGATACAGATAGCCGATTATTAACCAGCCATATTGGCTGATACCGATCTGATAACCAATTTACAAGAATGCAGCTGGGCAGTGTGGAGAATAGCTCCCTGTAAGTAAGTTGGTGGAGGGGGAGGGAGCGGGCAGATTGAGGCCTCCATGGTGAGGGAGGGAGTGGTGCTGAGGCTGGGGGCACTGCCCAGCCAGCGCAGTGAATGGGACTTGGGGCAGGTATGGGGAACGGGATGGAGCCTCAGGCTGCTCATCCAGGGGATCAGCATCCTGGTGCTTACAAATGGTGGTAGGAGCGCTTGAACTAAAGGTCATCAAATGAGCTCTAATTCAAGCACTGCCACCATTTTTTAAGTGCTGGAATGCTTTTAACTGGAGTGGAGCTGAGCGGGGTGAGGGTGGATGCAGGTTGCATGCTGTAGGCTCGGGGCTCTGCACTCTGCTGCCTTTGCCCCAGGAGCCCTGTGTTGCTGTGTGTACCCTGCCTACTCGGCAGCGGGAGCACAAGTTACTTCCCCCACCGCTACCGGGGGATCAGGGGACATGTAGCCAATGTGGAGCCCCCAGGGCAAAGGCAGCAGAGCAGAGAGCCCCGAGACCACAGCAGGCAGCCCACATTCACCCCATGCACAAATCTGGGAAGGAGACATGCACCCCCCCAATGCTTTTCCTGGGGGTGTGTGCATAGTGGTGAGGAGCCAACCCCTCCCCACCACTGGACAAGCCTCCTGCAGTTCCATCCTGCTCCCTGCCCTGGATCCCATTCACTGGTCTGTGTGGGCAGTGTCTCCTGCCCCACTCCCTCCCTCACCAGGGGGACCCTCAGTCTGTCTCTTCCCCACACCCCTGCCCCTCCACAGACTTACCTGCAGGGTGCTGCTCTCCATACTGCCTGGCTGCATTCCTGGCCACGTGCATGCGTGCCATTGCCTGCATGCATGTGGTGTCTGGGGGGCCTCAGTCAGAAGGTGTACTATCTTCATCAGTGGCATGATTGGCTACGCTGGCCAAAAAAAGCTAATAGCTGATAATGTTAATTTTCTGTTTGGTGCTGATCCAATATGGCACCGATACGTTGGTGCACCTCTACGTCATACAGTACCCTCCCTGGCAGCTCCAGGACTTGTGTTGCACATTTCACGTGCTCCAGTCAGTCCAGAATTTGCTGTCTATGGCTCCAACTCTGGCTGGCCTGGGATCTGCACTAACATGCCATCTGAGTGGACTGCACCACACACAATACCCATTCCAGCCACTCCAGGACCTGTGCTGCATGCAGCCTAGATTCCAGATCGGTTGGTGCAGGCGCCATATCCAGTATGCTGGAGGAAGGGAGAGGAGGGGGGTCTGTGAGCCTGATCTGGCCCATGAACTGGCCCCATGGCACTCATCTAGCATGTTGGGCCAGGTGAGTTTTGATGCCCCTATTATGGAAGATTAAACATTGCTCTGCAGGGCAGTGTTTGGTGGCAGAAGCCTTCTAAGAGTGTGAGAGCCTACTAGTGAAACTCAAAATTTAGGCGTGTCAAACCTTTTCTGTTTTAAATCTTGCTTAGCTGTTTGTTTCATCACACCTAGTGTGAAGGGTAGGGTTTGGGTGCAACAGGAGGGATTGGTGACACTAGACAAACCCAGTATTCACAGACTTGTATATGTGTGGTGTGGGCGGGGGGCTCACAAAAGGAGGAAGTGAGACAGATTGTGTTCTGATTTCCTGGAAGAATTCTGTGATCTTTTTTGTTTCCTTTAAAATATATCCAACTGATGTTTCCCTGATAAGTGTTCTCATGAAACGCGTCCTCTTAAGACAATTAACTTGTTCTAGGACACTTAAGCTATGGGGAATTCTGAAGGAAGACTGATCCTGTCTAATGTGGAATAGTACTTAAGCAGCTGACCTTTTATGCCTGGAGCTAATCTTCCTAGTAACTGTGTAGCTGAATCTAGAAAATGTTATGTTTTACAGGTAGGGTTGAATATTGCTCTTTGCTATTCTTGGTTCTGAAAGCTGGAGATGCAGGCATTTTGGTTTATTCTAGAGAGGAGCATTTCTGGGAGCCATGTTCCCCTCCTATTCTGGATAGCTTTGAAAGTGTTCAAGTAGGCACTACTATTCCCTTAGCACCTTCTATCTGTTGAGAGTATAGAAAGCTTGTGTCTTGCTTTGTCCTTGGTACTTGACTCACCTTTCTTATGCTCTTTTGGGGCAGATTTTTTGTGTAAGTGGTATAGTTTACCTAAAAGCAAAGAGATGCCTGAGTACCGGTTTGGTCTAGATCAGGGGTGTCCAACCTTTTTGAATGTGGGGCTGGATCATGGACTACTTATTACCCAGTGGGCTGGCGAACCATATTCATATTTTATCACCCCACAGGCTGCATGTTGGACAAGCCTGAAATAAGGCAAAGCTGACATAAACTCCCACCTGTGCTCAGCTAGTGACGAACTACAGCAAATGATGTCCTGGACCAGCCATCCCAACAGCTGGGGCCCCCCTTCTGCCTACTATGACCACCATTTGAAGGCAGCCCCAGAAGATATTTGACAGCCATGTTAAAATATGTGACCAAACCAATGTAGCTGGTGCTCTCACGCAGGCCAAGGGGCCACCTGTGCTACTGCTTCCCTAGGCCTTGCCCACACCAGCAACACTGCTGCCCAAAGTCTTGGCAGTGCTTGGGCAGGCACGGCTGGGGCCCAGCCAATGCGT